GGACGCATCGTTTTGTACTCCTTACTGACTAGTAAAGGGCGCCATTCGTTACGGGTCCCACTGCCTCCTGCTACAGTGAACCCTTCAATGTGGAGCGGGGAATCCGTGAGCCAGGGGCAGTGTAGCCAGTCTAGGGGGGTGGGGGGTGAGGGCAGTCACTTGACATGCGTGAGAAGCTGGAATGTTCGAATTCAACCGCGATCGCTTGGGATCCCCGCGGGTTAAGGCAGTGGGTCCCGCAACGAATGGCGCCCTATACTAGTCAGTAGGAGTACAAAATGATCACTCCCGTCCTATCAACGGCGTAATTAGGCACCGGAACGAACTCCCGGAACCCCGCATCACCTAATTTTCGGATGTAGAAAGGGTTGCAACGGCTGCGTGGTAAACGTGTGAAATATATCGTTCTCGCTCGATCTTCATGTTCATCGTGCTGCTGATGTGAAGAAATCTTCCCTAGACGCGCCTGAACTCTCCCTAGACAATCTACATCTCAGCTCTCATCTCGACTCCTTCCTAAATGAGGTATGGAACTCTTCCCCACCCAAGAACCAACGTGATCGTTTCCTTCGAGTGATGATTGGTGATAGTTCTTAAATCTCAATAAGTATTCTGTAAAAGCCCAGTACAGCGAATATAAAGCTTTGCACATGAACTACAAAAAAGGCGATTTTCGTAGTGAAGCGAACCTCTGGGGCGTTTAGAACCAAATTCTCAGCTACTGATACCACAACTGAAATTTTCTTATTGCGCATGAAAAGCCTTCACTATCATCCGACCAGTCTTTGACCCTATCATTTCACGAACATACTTATGTACTTTCCCTCGCAAGTTTGAAGAAAAGAAATACCAGTGAGTGCCGAGAGATAGACTAGAGGATTTCCATTCGCCGGTCAGTCAGCGTGTGACTCTTTCATGATCATCTCATCTTCATATCAGTTTTTTTTTTTGAAAATGACCCTTTTTTGCTGTATCTCCGCTACTCTCTACCCGAACTGGCAGGTTTATAGAATTCATGTACGACATCAGCCGAAATCAAACCCTCGACAAGAACTTAGAACTTTTCGCAAAAACTGGATATACTTACAGTAGACCACCAGTCAACAGTTTCCTTATCTCTGGCGAAAAGAGCGAATGCAGCGATGGCAGCACCGCCTGGAATCATTGTTGCCACCATGGCATTGCGAGTATCCTAAAATAATAAAACAGAATTGAAGGATCAAATAAAAGTTGTTTTAAGGATAAGAACCTTTGTATGTTTTTACCGGTCCGCTTTAACTAGATGAAAATTAGGGGGTAAACAGGGGTCCTTGTGCAAATAAGAGGAAGATTATCCGCCACCCGCATATCTAGACCAATTTGCACCACACTCGAACAGCAAACGAAGCACAAGCAGTTTAGATCGTCCGCTGGGCGGAGATCAACGACAGGAACCCATTTGTTGCTTTTGGATGGGATGAGGGATCGATTCGAAGCTTTTGTAGAAAGATACACAGATAGAAAAACGTGTTGCAAACGAATATGTGTGAGAGGATAGACTGCGTTACAATGTTGAGCTACCCCTTCCCCCACGCTCGACCCATTTCGTAAGAATTCCGAGGGCAGAGAGCGTTGAGAGTGGTTATGTCGACAGTATCTACACCTTGGAAAAACAAACTCTGTAGGAGACCGTATAAATCCTAACGATGCTTTTGGATCAACTTCCCTCACATCAGAAGGGTGGCACAAATTTTGAAATCGGCAACGAACGGTCGACCCCGAGTGCAAAACGGTCATAAAATAGAAACCCGCAGCCTTACGAAGGTCACCGAACTGCGCAAAGTCACGGTCTATCGATCGATATCGATTGAGATGTGTAGTTGTTTGGTGTTGTTGGCGCGGGCCCGGCATTAGGAGGTCTCCAACAATCAGTGGATCATTTGTAAAAAGTTTAATATTAAATAAGCATGAGCCAGTGATCAATACGTTTGAACCATCGATCACTGCGCTCTTAACATTGAAAAAAAGACCCTGTGAGCGACGGGGGGTGCTGGCGGTGGTGTGGGCTAGACAAGTTGTTTAAATATTCTACATGGACATCCGCCTTCCATCAAAACTGCCCTTAATAAAGAAGAATTCCCAAAATGACAAATGTGCTCAAGTGCAGTTAGGAGATCATGGCGCTTAGCACTAAACGGCATCTAAAACCACAAACAGCACTTTCATTTTCATTATCGCATGGCCACCTTTCCTTGGCAAGTAAGGGAGTCACTCACCCATGGCGCCTGCGAAGGTATGCCTGTTGCGGGAGTGGGAGCTGTAGGCCACTTGTGAGTGTGATGGCGCGCGCGCGGTCGCCGAAGAAGAACTTGCCCGATCAACTAAGACCGCAGGTCAATAAAGAAGTGACATAAGGTTTTCCAACAACTCCACAGCTTTTCAGAACCCACACAGCGTGCGCGATATTATACACAGCTAAAGTGATGCAGGTCAAAAGGGCATTCTATCGGCTTGCATTTCTCTAAAATGAACATATGCCAGAAAAAAAAACAAATAGAAAGACTACAGAGTCTGTCAACCTAAAATTGACTATGCCAAATCATTCGTACCTGAGTGGTCCAGAAAGGGCATGTCTGTCGTTTTCAACGTAATTGCTCAAGCGCTCCACGAGTTGTGAGGACTGAAAATAACTTTTAAATGACCATCCAGAAGGAATGATGCAAGTCAAACGCTCTGAAGCACTGACTACAGGAAAATACGCAATTTCCACTTGAGGTATGCAGGTTTGGAGAGTAGAATAGTTGAGGGATTTCTGATAAAAAAAAAAACCTCACAAAACCACTTTTCCCTTCACCTGAAAGCTCCATCAGACCAATAAGTGTCCCTTCCTTACCAGTGAATAGCGCCCATTACCTTTTACGAACATGAAGTTGTGGTTTTGATAATAGACCAAAAAAACGTTAGCGAGATCGTGACGGATTATGTGAATGATTAAATTTTCGGACATTCCAGCATGGAAAGTACTGATGTATGCCAAGAGTGCAAGCAGGGGCGTGTCCTATCCTGCTCCACAGAAGGAGCCACTTGAACCGAGTAGGATAGTGGCGGGTGAACCTCATAATCAACAGCAGGTTCGGGCTTTACACTGGTTTTGCTCCGCTGAGTGCTGTCTTAACAAACAGTTGATACACATCTTTCCAAGGCACATTACTCCACGAAGCCAGATAAACCAAGCCTTCTTGGAGCAGTGTAGAGTTGTCCACAAAAAATGGGAAATGTGGCCGAAAAAGCGCGACAAAGAAGCTAGAGATTTGCCAAAGAAACCGGTTACAGCTGCTATTCGTAATGGATCGCTCTACGTTGCAGAATATATACGTCTCGCCCTTTGCTATGCTATGCTTTCTCGCCTCTCTCAGCGACGCCACAAGCTTGCCCCGTATTACTACCACCACAACAAAAAAGATCAATTTCAAGTGTTACGGCGGGGTCGGGTTTCTGTGTCTGCGTCCTCACAAGTAGTTCCCTTCGCACGTAGACTTATTTTCGGGCGACAATCACATCCTTCGATCGCGGAATGTGCCTCCAAGTACTAACTTTTGAAATTTGAGAGGTTTCTTTCGTTAAAGTGAGATGCGCTTCATCAAGGAATGCGACTAAGCCAAATTAATGTTTTGAAAAGAGAAGCCCTCATGTCGTTTGGGGGAGGCGGTGTGGTTCACTCGGACAAAAGCGACTTTTTCGCGTTTCGCACGCGAAACTTTTTTCGCTGTAATAACCTCAGATCCACCGCTGATCATGAGCAGACCTGAAGTTCCCACATCGAAAAATGTTTCGCGTCTCAAACGCGGCAAAGTCACTTCCTGTCCTAGTGAACCACACCCTCGTTTGGGGGGGGGGGGAGTTCCAATAAGTGGGTCAATCACTGGGCTTGGGATTAAGCCAAGCCTTAGGAGTGGGAGGGGAACTTGATGTGAGCAAATTGTGTTCTCCCTGTCGTTGCTTCCATCACCTGGAATTGTTCTAGTGTCACCTACCTGTCGTCCATTTTGTCCAGTGTCCCCCTAAAAGACATGAGCGCCAAAAAAAAAAAACATAAAAAGCAAACCATTTCTTTTCGAAGGCCCTGAAGTAACCGTCAAGCGCACATCATGCTTCGCCAACAAAGATGTAAAAGGTGCGGCTAGCCATTTCAAGAATCCGCGCTTTTAATGAGGGCGCGTCGCTGGTTGGGCAACGGGATTGGGTCCTTCTCAGAACACATTAACGTTGAAGATTTCCTCCTAGTGGATCGATGGAAGAAGCATGACGGTAATGGAAATGAGTGCGAGCATTCACGATCTCGTCTCGAGGAGGGAAAACGAAAAGCAAAAGCCACCCTATCGATTTCGAATGAGCGAACATTGACCCCATACTACCTATGATGTCACGAGTTAAAAATCGGACGTAATAAGCTTGTTTATACAGAATGTTGACTGTCTGATGAATCGAAGACAGGACCTAACACCAATCGATTGCAGCGCAAAACAAAGAGAAGGGCAACCGCTAGCAGTAGCGACGACAAACGAAGAAAATACTCCCTGTGCTGGGCAAACGCACGACGACGACGCAATGCCGACCGAAGGAAGAAAATAACAAGAAGATGGTGCAAATGCACCACATACCAAACTACCGTAGTCAAAAAGTACGGCAGGAAACGGCCGAGCAGGCATGTTGTAAAATTCGAGAGGACGGAATGACGTTGCGAAGTACCAGAGAAATGTGAT